ATGGGGATTTGTTTATGTGTATAGAGGAAAAATCATAAATAAAACCTTAACTAGCTAGATAGGGACTTAATTCAAACTAAAATAATAAATATAAAAGCTATATAAATAATAAAATTCATGCAAACAAAAAAATTAAACTAGGTATCATGCACAATTAATCTAGGAGGCAAAAGACGGCTAACGACAAAATAAAAAAAAAAACGCAACACGCTGTGAAGGTTTTGTACGCAGCCTCAACAACACGACCCACCCACAATACACCTCTAAACGTTGGTATTTTTGGTAGCAGTACTGCCTAATGTTTGGATGCTACCTACAACAACCACAGAAAAAGGCATATTCGCCCGTTCCTGAGGATTGCAAATATATTGGCTCGGTCACTTGCTTGAGCACCAGGAAAGCACCCACACCTTAGCTCACGAAGAAAAAGTTGGCGGTGGAAAGGTTCTACGAAACCACCAGAGTCGTCACTGCCATAAAAAAACGGTAAGCTGACATAAGAGGACGAAGCGAGACTCTAAACCTGCGAATCCAAGAGAACGAGACCAGTGTGATCCGTACCATCAGCGTTATCGACGCACACGGAGGAATCGGGGCAGTCGGCACGATTGCCATGAACGATCATCACCAGATATCGGGGAGGCCAGATCGGCTCAATCGGGGCAATCGACACGATTGGTGCGAACGGCAAGGAAGGAGACCAAGGATTCGACTATGCACGGAGACATCGTGCAATCCGTTGCGGAACCAACCAGCGAGTGTTCATCGACGGGCCCGACACTGACACCACACACACAAAAAGAAACCGTGAGTAGTTACATATAAGAAGAGATAGGGCTGTTAGGGACTGTTAAGGCAAACATTTAATAAATCGCCGTCAGTTATCAAATTAATTGTCTTGTGGTTTTTCCTCTAATTTCGCAAACCTCGGCGGAAAGAAGCCGACCCAGAGTGTGGTTAGAGTTATTGTAGGCTGAGCGGGCGTAACAAAAGGAATTGTTACAAATCGCTGCAAATTTGCTTAAGTCAATGGGATTATTCTGAAGCTATCTGATCGTCCGTGAACTACTCGGAATTTCGGTGAAACTGAATGAAACTATTTAAATTTTAAGTTCTATGGAGTTTCTAGAAGATATTTATCGCTGCTTGCTAAAAGTTCTCATATTTTTTTTTAAATTAATGGAACTTCGTTGATATTCTCTAACCAAATTAGCTAAATTTTCGCATTTTTTAAAGTTCTTGATATCTCCATGATATCCATGATATATGATATAATGTTTTCTGGATGTTCATATAATTTTTATCACATTCCAGAAGTTGTATCGGAGCTTTGCTGAAGTTCCCGGAACTTCCTTGAAGTTTCTATAATTTTCTTGAAATTATTTGAACTGCCCTTGGATTCTTTGTTCTGTCTTGATGTTCTCGAAGATTCGCTAAAACTCTCAATTATATTGAAGATAAATTTCACTGAAATTCTTTGGACTTCTGAGGTGCTTAGCACTTCTTAAAAAAATGCACAATACCCCTCAAGGTTTCTATATTTCTCAAGTTCGCTTAACACCTGTGATGTGCTCTAAAATTCTATGAGCTTGATAAAAGTTCCTGAAAATTTTCGGATGTTAAAAGAACCGATTTGAGGATCTTAAAGCTTCCAGTAAGCTCCCCATAATTATAGTGTGTTAACTTCCCTTATGTTATCGTAATTTGTTTATGGAGCTTTACTAAAATTCTCAGCATTTCCTTTCATTCCTCAGAACTTCTGCAAAGTTCCTACAATTGTTGTGAAGTTAATGGGACTGCAATGAAGATCTCTAATCTTTCATAAAGTTAATTACGAACTTGAAATAAATCATATAATGTTTTCCTTAATTCAGGCACTTTGAAAATTTTCAATATCTTGACCTTGGCACATGGAATACGAAACTACAAGACATTGCATATTTTTAGATCTTGAACTTACTCAAATTAAGTAGCTTTTTTAAAACTTTATTAAAGTGAGAAATTAAGTAAGTGCTAAACTTCAACATTATATGGATTTGACTATGACTATGCAGATGAATGAAATAATAAATCTGGCATCCCTGAGTAAACTATTGGAATTCATAGGTGGAATTGGGCGTTAGAAAGTTGACAAAGATGATTGAAACTAACGGAACTTAAGAATAGTTAATGTTACCACCTGAAATCTCGTCCTAACACTGATGGTGTTAGATTAGATCAAATCGCATTACATAAAGTGATGTAGGTAAATATTGTCGCTTTCCGTTTGCAGGACGTTGAAAATCTATTAATTTTACCCTGACTACACCACAGTACAACCCCCAATGTATCTATATCACTACATATGAATGCGATGGGTGGGCCCGACTCGGGAAGAAAAATTCCAACCATTTTCTATCGCTGCAGTCAGTCAGCTAAGTTTCTGTTTGGGAACAAGCCACCGAAGACAGAAGCTGAAGGTATGTACAGAAAGGTACCGTTGTTTGCGGATGGATCTTCTTTTTTTTATGAATTCCTTGATACCTTTGGTTTCTTTGGGGAAATCGAAACTAAGCTTTTTTTTTTTCGAATGAACGCATATATGAAAAAGTTGTTCCGTCTTGGCTGCATAATGTGGCCCCTGATTTTTTTGTAATAAATATACCATTTGCGGTCAGTATTCTTACTACCAAATATAAGGTAGCAGGTTTCGGCACTTATTGGCCATCAGATGTCACTACTGTTGTTTGTGGCGACCAGGGCGTCACAATATCAGCTTCAATCGACCAAATCGATGCGACGAAGAGACTGCTGGCTTTCTTTTTCTGTTAAAGTCGAACAGCTTCGCAGCATTCTAGAACCTCAGTCGGCGTGCACAAACAAATGTTCAATCGCTTGTCTCTCTTTCTCCCGTCGCTCCAATGGTCTTCCTTTCAAGCTTCGGTGAAACGGATGAGCGAAAGAGCGCTCGACTTTGATAGTTTTCTCTTTCATGAAACACATCAACAGAGGTTTCATGACGTATATGACGGAAAATGAAATAACAGATTTAAAGCATTTCTCACGTGAAAACACGTGAAGATTACACGTAATATTTTTAATTTATCTTCCATCCATATATTTATCTAAAAAAAATGATCAAAAACGAGACATAACGCATTTTAAACAAATTGAAAGATCGGTGATAGAGTGTTCGTGAAAGGGGATTGAAAGCCATAATGAGGTTTCGTTTAACTAGAAAATCGACGTTAGTTACATTGAAAGCGATGAGCGAAGCAACGACGAGAAGTTCCACAGCTAGCGTTTCCTTCTAAGCGTGCTTCTTTTTCACTATCATTTCTTGCTGATAGTCTAGCTAGGCGTTATAGAAATGAAGCGTCGAACACGTATGTATGAGAGAAAAAAACACGAGTTCATTTTACAGTTTCGAAAATGCAGAGCCTCGGTGGCGACACCTATCAGAAAATAACGCATAAACTGCTTTCCGTTAGTTCTTAACAGAGGACAGTGCAGTCAACAATCCTAAAATCCCTTTCACAGACTACAAAATAGAGTACCTGACACTGCAGTGCATGTATGGTACCGCTTAGAAAGTATGTTTTGTGCCGAGTATGATTAAAAGGAGGGACTTTGGATGCATAAATAAGGGTACCAACTTTGTCAATACCAGGTACCAGGCATGGAAAATCATTTGCATTCATTTCATACATTCATTTACATTTATTTGCCTCTAACTTTTTTAATCAACAGCATTCCGCAAATAATGTAAAGAGCTTTTGTAGGTTTTGTTATTAGCTACAAGTATTTGCTCATAACTCAAATCTGCATCTCTTATGCATCACGAACTAGAGCGGGCAGAACTTGTTACTGTTTTTCAGTGAATGTAAAATACATTCACTGAAAAACAGTAGTGACTTCTGTTCGCTCTGCTTCGTCATGCATAAGAGATACGGATTTGACTTGCTTACAAAAGTTGTAGCTAATAACAAAACCTACAAAAGCTCTATACATAATTTTGCGGAATGCTGTTGAAGAAAAAAGTTAGAGGCAAATGAATGTAATTGAATGCACGAAATGAATGCAAACGATTTTCCATGCCAGCCAGGTACTCTATTCTGAAGTCTGTGCGAGGGAAATCACAAATCGTATGTGATCAAAATACATGGCATGTTGAGAGATTGAGCTCACGAGAGATTGAGAGAGAATTGTGTGAGAGACAAAGCAGCTTTCTCTCTTGGTAGTAAGGTTGAAAGCAATGTCTATGGGGATGTCTATTTTATTTATTTTACAGTAAAGTAATTTTTAATTTTTTAATTCTATACATACTTGGCCACGTGAATTCTTGATTACTGCTTGTAATTATCGCAAATAATTAATATTCTCTCAAATCCCATACTGAATTTAAACGATTCCTACCAAGGAAATAGCGCCATCTTTGGGAAAGAATATTTCATTTCAGGAATAATTTAATTGAGAAAACAGGAATACCGACTAAAACTCCATCCGCAAGCAACGGTACCTCGCTGTATGCAGCTAGTGGTAACATCCAAAAGGAGAACGATACGATACCGACGAACAATTGCACGAATGAATGTAAGTTGAGGGTAAGGAGTCGCTGGGTTCGTAACTTTTACGGAAAAGGAACGAGACGACTCTCACATACGGCGGACTCGGTGAAAATTGTGTCATTTCTGCTGTGCTGCTCATAGAAGGAAATGAAGAGATATGGGAGTGTCATTTTTCATCTTGATGGCATTAAGTCGTTGCCGCAGCCGTAGCCGCCTGTCGCCATTGACATTCTTGAACTAGTTCAGTGGGGACTTGCTGCAGCTTTTGTCTGTGTGTCATCGTCGCCTCTGTTGATGGTGATGATTATGATGATGTGACTGCTATAGATTACAAACAGAAGGAAGACTCTCCATCGTGTGACTATTGTCGGAAGGAATTTGCAGACGTGTGATGGCAGTGATGAGCAACGAGCAAGGGCTTAAAGTTAATTTGCGAATGGCCTCTCAACTAACCTTATAGATCCCGTCGACGAGCTTGATAATTTCCTCCGTTTCCATTTTGAGTTGGATTTCTACCCGGCTTCGGTTCAAGTGGGCTGACGTTGACTTTTTCAACTGTTACAAGTCCCAGGCACGTGTTGATTCGCTGACAACCCGGAGTCGGTTGGAAAAACTTTTCTTTTAAACTATTTTTCTTGCACTCTGCACAACTTCTCTCATTAATTTCTTCGCTTTAGTTTCCACTTACACTCCCGATGGCGTTGCTGCAGCCTTAAAAAAATCGAACAAAACAAAATCACTAACTGGAGACTAGCAGTGATGCGAAACTTCCTGGTTGCAATGCAATAATTCTGCGCAACACGTTTACAATCACGTTCAACAAAACAGCAGAGCTTATTTACAACATCTACAACAATAATGGTAACATGAACTAAGGAAGGCAAAAACTTCTCTTTCTATCTTTCTCGTTTAACTTTGGAGCGTTTCACCTTTTTATAACTATTTACACTTAACAAGGGGACATAAATAAATCACAAACACTAAAATTGTTGTTTTTCGCTTCTTGCGTGGACTATTCTTCTTCCGTTGTTTGCTTGCTTGTTCAGACAATGTGATTGTTGGTATATTGGTTGTAAATTATGACACTACTGGTACCGGCCGCCGTTGGAGTCCCTTGTTGCTGGTGCACCGTCCACCGGTAGGAACTCATGCTAATGATTTATGCGCCCCCGGGCCGGAGATTGCGGTTTGTCTGTCGTGGTAAGCAGCATCCACTACTACAACAATGAGGGGGGATGCGACAGCCAGGATTAGTAACTCTTGTAGCTTCTGCTTCGGGATGAGCCACTCGTTTTTAAATTAAGTTTGGGAAGTTCGATCAGTTCTGAAACGAGAGAAATAGAATTGAAAATTTTATGAAGAGCTTTGAGTGTGTTGGTTTATTTCCTTTAAATTCCGTTATAATTGCTTATCTTTTGACAGATACGAGTATTTCGTTTAATATTTGCAGACTTCATCAGTGTCAAGTACTCAACACCAATGAAGAATCAATATTTTATCTACGAGTTACAGGATTTACATCCGCATTTATATAGCGATTTATTTTCGAAAGAAAAAATGTTTATTTTTAAAACCCTCACAACTTTGTAGAACAATGAAAAAATAGGAAAATTCAAACAAAAAAGTTATTGTAAAAAAACGACTACCGTTTGCACTCCATTTTCACCCTATAACTTCGTTCACTTGGGAGATATAAAATTGTTGTTTTCAATACGGTTTCCTTAAATGACTTCATCTACAATGTTTGATAGTGCAACAACTAGAACATATTGGCACAGCGTAAAGCATGACCGGTCTAAACACTTGTTTGAATATTAGAAGTTTATTCGTCAGGCAAAGCTTGGACTTCCTGTTTATAGGAGGATACAAACATTTTATATATTTGTTACATTTGGCTTGAATGCCCTCAATGTGATCTTTAAAAGTTATTTTTTGCTCAATTACTAATCCAAGATATTTTAACTTCTTCGCAACTACAACCTATTGAATGCCGATTGCTGATGCTGAATGGAAATTGTAAAGAGCATTGTTGCAGCGCTGTGTAGCTCGGTATTTTATTCTGCTGGGTCTCAGTAAAAGCTAATAAACGAGAGTATAATGTACGCTATTAAAAATATCTCCATACGAATGAACTAAAGTGACTCACTAAGGAAAGATTCGTTTTCAGTTTACCTAGCTAGGAAGCCATGCTTGAATCTTTCCAATTGGAGGCAATTTCGATATTGGAACGAGTCATTTAAGTTGACCTTCCGACCACATCCGCAGACTAACAGCCTCAAACCATATCGATACGCTCTTTTATTACCTTGCGCAACCGGCTCGTCTGTCTATGTTCTCGTGATATTCATAGCGAGCGAGCACGTGATTGGTTTATTGTGGCTAAAAACTTGAATCATGCTTCAACAACAATCTTATTTATACCAAACAAATTTTATATTCAATGTGAATAAAATGGTGTAGTTAAAATTGGATTTCATACATTTATGACCATGTTATAAGCGTTTAAAACCTAGCACTATTTCGTCACACAATTTTTATTGATTTGCATCCCATTATAGTCCAGGTAAACAAAAAAGTCAGCAGATCGCAACTGTCTCGTGGACAGCCTTATTAAGTAACGTATGCAAAGGAGTGGTTAATGGCCTCAATGCTGGAGAGTAGTGGCAAGAGTGATACATGGAACAGCTTCGAAAACATGGAAAGACAGGAGTCTTGCAGATAATTTTGGTGAGATCTTTCCTTTTCTTTAGTAGATGTTGAACTAATTTCCTTCCTATCCTCTGCGATTGTAAGGATGTGGCCAGGTGCATAATGCGATGCTTGTTTTGCAAATTTTGATGCGTGGGACAAACCACTAATCTCAAGTGTTTTTTCACGGAAGCACACGATATGTTCTGCAAAATGTATTGGTTGACCATTATACAGTCCCCCACGATTTCTGCAATCGCATATGCTATGCTATGCTATGGTATGCTATGCTAAGTCCTACTCCAAGATATTTCACTTGGTTTGACCAGGAAATTGTTACTCCGTTCATAGTGACTACACCGTTTGAAAAATGCATGTGAATTTCTGCGATATATAGCGAACATAAAGTTAATGCGGCGCACATATCGAGCAATTTCCGTTGCACCTTCCCGTTACTTGAAGAAAATGGTCCTTACAGTAACAAAATTCAAGCAAGTATTACTAAGTTCAAGAAGTCTATTTTGAACATCGAGATACAATACACGTTCCACAAAATAAAACAGCTGAAAACGGTCCTCACTGAGCTAACTCAGCAAATCCGAACCTCGAGGGCCTCGAAACAAGTCGCCGAGGGTTTTTTCGAAAGCCAAACCAAGTTTTACGAAGAGAACATCCGGGTGAGGACCAACAGGACGAAGAAAAAGTTTCATCGTATCGTTGAACAAACGCGGCAACCCACTATGGAAGGCCTACCCTCCTACAACCCCAAAGCCGTCTACAACGGAACACAAGTAGATGTGCCACCAGAAGCGGAGACCCTACTTAGCTTAGGACCAAAGTTCGCACTCCCAATCACGAGTACACAACAAGTCCCATTCTACCACCTGCTGGCGGACGTAGAATGTGTGATCACAGCCAATCCTGATACAGAAATTCAAAATCGAACTAGATCCGCCGTCGGCAACGTAGTACTAAACTACATACATCGAAGTGAGAACCAGAATCAACAAAAAGAACCTTCCACAAAATTCTGCAACAAAGCGGTAGCCATCACCCGAAGATTTCTAAAAGAGAATCCTAACGTCTACGTGCTCAAATCGGACAAAGGCAACAAAACGGTTTTGATGGAGGCGGACGACTACAAACGGAAGATGCTAGAAATGCTTAAGGATAGAAACACGTACAACCCAATCGCATCAGATCCCACGTCGAGATTCGAAAGGCGAAACAACAACTTAGTAAGAAGACTCCGTGACTTGAAACTAATCGACAAGCGGGCGGCAAGACAGTTAACCACGTACAGCGCGGTATGTCCGAGAATATATGGCCAACCCAAAGCGCACAAACCAGCATTACCGCTAAGGCCTGTTGTACCAAACATGACCGCTCCGTCATACCAACTCTCGAAATACGTGGGCAAAATCATCCAACATGGCCAAACATTTTGTTAGTAGAATTAACCAGCTCTCTTCTAACATTGATGATCAAACGAAGGCTAAAATCATCGACGAACAACTTAGTCTGAACGATTACCCTAAACCGCTCAGGAACAGACTCATTAATCGTATGAATGAACGACCAAACCAAAACAAAACAAGACCAGTACAAGGAAACCTGGAATATACTTACCGTTCGATACCATTCATACCTCACCTGTCAAACTTGGTTGACAAGGAACTCCGCCGGGACTACAAAAACATAAAAATAACTAAACATAATGTCAAAAAAGTAGGCAGTCTGTTCACTAAAGTGAAAGATCCTGTACCACCAGAACACCAAACAAACGTTGTTTACAACATCCCGTGCAGAAACTGCGAAGCCTGCTATATTGGTATGACAACTAACCGTCTCAAAACACGGATGAACGGACACCAAACACACTACAACGCAATGGACAGAATGATGAAGGAAGGAACCAACATCACCGATCACAGAATCGTTGCACTAGGTGAAAAAACTGCCCTAATGCACCACAGCATCACTGAAAACCACCGGTTTGATCTGGATAAAGCCAAAGTTTTAGACAGAAACAACAAAACACAAACACTACAATTCCTAGAGATGTGTCATATAACAAACAGCAGAAATTGTGTTAACCGTCGTACAGACACCAACGGCCTACACTCAATCTATGCCGGTATCTTGCACAAAATCAAGAACATAAATAAAATACAAAACGACAACAGGGAAAATGATGAAACTAATGACACAACAAACACACCAATACCAACACACACGCTATGAAGACACTAGATATCAATCACACTCACACAATAGCATCTAGATTAGTAATAGTCAGAATAGGTGTCGATAAAACGCCCGCACTCAAAATCTATAGATCAACTATTGTAAAACGATACAAAAAAGCTCTTAACTAACGGAAAAAGTTTCTGATCAAATGTACAGTGCGGCACACAAAAATCGAAACTATTGCAGTGAGTAAAATACTAGTCGTTGACCAATATTTTTTTATTAAACATTTTACCGCTCACAGCCAAAGTGGGCGCCATACTATGTTGGACAACAAAATGTAGGGCACTACATATTATAACAACAAACTTTTTAGAATCCTTGAAAAAGGTTAAATATATAACCGAAACCGTCGGATATTGAAGCAATAAACGTTTTTGCTGTTCTTTAAGACTGCTTGAGCCGAAAACCGTCCATATAGTTAATGCTAGATTTGGCTTAAATTTACATGATATTTCGTGTAAATTTAAGCGCGATATCGCATAAATTAGCAATATTGTATGCAGGATTGTAAGCGATTTCGTTGTTTATGCCAACTATAGCTCAAAATTCAACGAGGGGAGATTTTACGCGATAGCTAAAATTCAGAATTTTTTCTGTAATGTGACTACTACTAGGTTTCAAAAAGGAAGCTCTAGGCTTATGTGGAATTATATGTTGAGTTTTGGAAGCGTTGGGAGAAATCTTCCATTTTTGTAAATAAAAAGAGAAAATTTTCTGCAGTCTGCTGCAAATAACATGAAGACTTCTTCCTTTAGCGGAAATGCCTGTGTCATCAGCGAACAAAGATTTGTGGCAACCCTGGGGTAAATCAGGTAGGTCCGAAGTGAAAATGTTATACAATCTAGGCCCAAGAATGCTACCCTGAGGAACTCCTGCTCTAACAGGTAGTCGATTAGATTTGGAATTTTGATAATTTACCTGCAGAGTTCGGTCAGTTAAACAATTTTGAACTAATTTCCTAATATAAAGTGGAAAATTAAACTTTTTCAATTTAGCATCAAATCTTCAAGCCAAACAATGTTGAATGCTTTTTCTATGTCTAGAAGAGCAACTCCAGTTGAGTGGCCTTCACATTTGTTTGAACGAATTAAATTGGTAATTGAATTCTCATGGCGAAATCCAAACTGCTTATCTGCAAAAATTTTGTTCGTATTGATGTGAAGCGTCATTCTATTCAAAATTATCTTTTCAAAAACTTTACTGGACGGTAGCTAGAAGCTTCAGATGGATTTTTATCCGGCTTCCAAATTGGAACAACTTTTGCATTTTTCCATTTATCAGGAAAGTATGCCAAAATGGAAACATCTGGGAGTTTTTTTTAATGAGGATATAGAAAATTCCATCATCCCCTGGAGCTTTCATATTATGCAACTTTTTAGTTAT